GCACCTCCGGATCGACCCGCTGATCCGCTGCCAATAGAGCATAATCCACTCCCAAGTGCACAGCACCTGCCACTGAGCGGGAGAGACAGTCCACAACTTGGTTATGCTTCCCTGCCACATGCCGGATGTCAGTGGTGATCTCTATGAGGAACCAGAAGTGACGCACAGCCAAGTACAGGTCAAGAAGTTCATGGTCAAAGGTGCTGTACTTCCGCTCATGCGGCCTGTCGGCTGAAAAAGGCCAGCGGCTGCCAGGCACCATCCACGAACTGCTCATGCATGGCCCCCACAGCGTAGTCCGAGGCGTCAGTGGTGAGCGCGACCGGAGCACCAGACAATGGGTGGGCCAGCATGGTCACGTTTGCCAGAGCAGAATTGGTAGCTACAAAAGCCTGGGTCTGCTCAGCTGTCCACTCAAGAACCTGCTTGACCATCCTACCCCTGAGAGTCTCATACAGTGGCCACATCAGCTGGGCGGCCCATGGGATAAAGCGATGGTAGAAAGTAACCATGCACAGGAACTCCTGCAGGGCCCTGGCTGTAGCAGGCTGCGGAAACGCAGAGATGGCCTCCATTTTGGCAGGCAGAGGAACTGCCCCATCGCCCGTGATGCGGTGGCTGAGGAAATCAATGGAGGACAAACCAAACTGGCACTTTTGTGGGTTGATAATTAACCCATGACTGCTCAGATGCTCAAAAAGGGTCCAAAGGTGAGCTATGTGGTCAGCCCTGGAGTTACTGGCTACCAAAATGTCATCCAGATACACAAACAGGAACGGAAGGTCCTTCAGGACACTGACCATGAGCCGCTGGAAAGACTGGGCAGCGTTTTTAAGCCCAAAGGCATCCAAAGAAACTCGAAAAGCCCAAACGGGGTGATGACCACAGTCTTTGCAATGTCCCCTGGATGTACTGGGACCATGCACCAGTCAACCTTTGAAAAAATGGATGCCCCCACCAACCAGGAAGAAAATTCCTGGATGTGTGGGATCAGGTAGCGATCCGGGGTTGTGGCGTCATTAAGCTGGCGGTAATCGCCACACGGGCACCAACCCCCACCTCGCTTGGGTACCATATGCAGAGGGGAGGCCCAGGCACTGCCGGAATGGCAAACAATACCGAGGCTCTCCAATGCAGCAAACTCTGCCCTAGTGATGGCCAATTTACCCGCATCGAGGCGTCGGGCTCAGGCATGGATGAGCACAGCACCGAATGGAAAGTCCTGGCATCAACCAGGCGCTGGTGTTTTATGTCCACCAGCAGGTTGTTAGCACATAAAAAAATCGACACCCAACAGGGGGGTGGACACCTTCGCCACCACAAAACGCCACCGGAATCGCTGGCCACCAAAACAGATGCCTCGACACGAGTGCCATAAGTCAGAATACTGCTGCCATTAGCGGCCTCCAACGTCTGGCCCTTTGTCCCGGAGCACGTATCCGCCACCGACACAGGCAAAACACTGACCTGCGCGCCCGTGTCACAGAGGAAACAGCGGCCAGACACCATCCGTGATGAAGAGCAGGCTGCCAAAACGGCCGACGCTCGCTGCCGCTAACAAGCCGCAGCCGATGCGTTTTCCGTCCCATTAAAACGGCAAGGGGGGGTGCACTTTTTTGCTTTGTCACCAAACCGTGCACGGTAGAAGCAGAGGCCTGGTATACCACTCTGCTGCGTGGCAGAAACAGTAGCATCGGCAAGCAGCGGGGAGCTATTCGAGCTCCGAACACACACGGCTGAGCAAGCTGCCAGCCAGGCGGTGTGCACTTTGTCAGCCTCCCTAGCAAGCTCCCTACAGTCTTTTTATTTTTTTTTTTTTTTATTGCCCAGTCTTTAAGCGGGAGGTTAGCTAACACCCCCGCACTTCTGGCAGCTGTTGCAGGAAAAGCTCCCTAAAAATAAAGCAGGGCTGATGGTCACCTAGGAGAGCTAGCATGTGATCCATCAGCTCCGAGGGCCGTGAATCACCCAGCCCGGGCAGCACGAACAAGCGGCGCGCGCGCTCTGTCTCGGAAAGCTCGTAAGTGCCCAGCAACGGAGCAAGTGCCCAGTAAACGAAATTACAAAAATTAAAAAGAAACAGTAACTGAGTTACACAATTACGAAACGTAGCATAAAACGTGAAATAAACAATGGAGCAGCAATGAATAAGCACAGTTAACCTAATCTAAGTAGCAACAGCACACGTCATTAAAGTGAGCTGAAATCCGGGATTGAAAAGCAGGCTTTGGAATGAAAGTGTTCAGTTTTAGAGTTTTCTGCAGATCATTCCAGTCTCTAGCAGCAGCATTCCGAAAAGACGATAGACCGAAAGCAGTAGTAGCCTTAGGGACTGTCAACAAAATCAGATTAGCAGAACAAGTATTATACCCAGTAGAAGTAGGGTGTAACAATTCTTGTAAGTAAGGGGGGGACAAACTAAGGAGAGTTTTGTAAATGACCATAAGCCAGTGGATTTTACGATGGGTATACAATGATAACCAATTGAGAGAAGAATACAAAGTACAGTGATGAGTTTTGAAGGGAGCATTAGTTATGAACCGGATAGCAGAGTGGTAGAGAACATCAAGCTTTTGAAGCAGGCCTTTAGATGCTGATCTATAAATAACATCACCATAATCAAAAATGGGGAGATAGTCATTTGTACCAGTGTTTTTTTTGCAGATGACATAAACTTAGAGCGCATTCTATAAAGAAACCCAAGTTTTGATTTGATCTTAGACTTCAAGTCATCTATGTGTTTTGAAAAAGACAGAGTATTGTCTAGCCAAATTCCCAGGTATTCATATTCGGTAATCTGATCCAAAGGTGTCCCATTAAGGGAGCAAATGCTTGGAGAATTTGATGGAACATGACCTTTTTTTCCAAACCACATGACTTTAGTTTTGGAAGTATTTATTTGGAGATGCAAATTGGAAAGAGTCTGTTGCAATCTACTAAAACTAAATTGAAGTTGTTGGACGACTATAGCAGGGGAAGGACCTATAGAGTAAAGAATTGTATCGTCGGCATAAATAATGATAATTGCATATTTTGTAGGTGTTCATTTGCAAATCCCATAATACTCTGCATAGACTTGTAAACAGCTCCATGTGTTTAACAAGTAAGCTAAAATGTGTAACTGAAATGATTTGGATCAAATAAAATCATATACTGAGATTTTACGTGGCCTACCACTTCGTGGCTGAGTTGCTGTTGTTCCCAGTTGCAGCCACTTTGTTATAATAGCACTAACAATCGACTGTGGCATATTTAGTAGCGAGGAATTTTCACGAATGGACTTATTGCACATTTGGCATCCAATCACGGTACCATGCTTGAATTCACTGAGCTCCATAGAGCTACCCATTCTTTCTCAAATGTTTGTAGAAGCGGTCTGCATGCCTAGGTGCTTGATTTTATACACCTGTGGCTATGGAAGTGATTGGAACATTCAATGATTTGGAGGGGTGTCCCAATACTTTTGGCAATATAGTGTATGTGTCCTTGGTATTAAATTGTTTGTATTTGTACTGTAATATTATGCAATGAAGTTCTATTTAAAAAAAAAGCAAAAAAAAAACGTGCTCTTCTTATTATGATTGCACCAATTGCTATCAGTTGTTCTCATAAAAATGGCACTGGCTTTGTTTGGATGGGTTTCCTGAGAGGATCTGTGATCTAATCATGTTTGCTTCGAATAAACCCGCTCCAAGCATACTGAAAAAAAGGTTACTTAGATTTAATTAATTTTAGGCAAGTGGGTGCATGAAATTAATTTATCTAAAGAAAGATATAAATAGTTTGTTTAACTTAAAAATTTAGGTACTTCCAGCTCAGAAATTTTATGTCATATAAACTAATTTTACTAGAATGTTATTAATTTTAATTCAATAGCACCCATGTTCAATCTGCTTAATTGTAATACATATTTTTGGTTGCTATTAACCTATACCTTTCAATTGAATTCAACTTATAGGACTGAATTTGTTGATGTTATTTTGGTTACCGGTGGCCTGTACTACGAAGTGGGGTTACTGGCTTATCGGGGTAACTTGTCGGATTTAAGGTACCACGTTTAAATGGACTTCATATTCGTTCACTTACATTTTGCCCAGACTACCTTAAATCCGACAAGTTACCCCGATAAGCCAGTAACCCCGCTTCGTAGTACAGGCCACAGTTCTTTAGAAAGGAAAAACAGGACTGATTTCCTTCCCTCCCAGCTTGTTCCTACCTGCAAGAAAAATGTCTCAAAACCTGCTCATACTAGCCTATCCCAGTGAAAGCCATCCTACAAGATTCTTTTACAGTTATACACTAATAAGAATCACCATAGGACTAAAATGCAATTGCAAATGGACTTTGCTTTTTCATTTGAAATGTGGCAGTGTTCGTTCGCGAAAGCGAAAAAGCAAACGGTAATGCAAAATTTGCAATTGCATTTGAATTGTGTCACACTTTATGCGTCCACATATGGAAAAAGCAATTGCAAATGCAATTTGCAATTCCTTTTGAAAAATGTCCGGGATTTCCCTCCATACTATAAAGTCTGCAGTTCACATCATGAGAAATTCCTTTTTTACAATCTTGTTTGTGGCTCTATTGCCATTGAAATTGCGTTGCAAACGTAGGATGTGCACATTTATACAGACGTGGTCAATTTCCATTCAAAGAATAATGCATAAAAAATTAATTTACATCATATCAACAAAATTGATTTGAGTAACACTAACAAGTCTAATCATTTTTTTTAGTTTAATATTACGGATCGATTGCTGTGAAAACCAATCCGAACAGTTTCGGAGAACCGAGAAGTCCGCGAAATCTTGTCAGCACAGCGATTGATTAATAAAATAGCCACTGCAGAGCCTCAGAGCTGTGGCGATAATACCTTCAAGAACATTTAAGTACAATTTTAACATGAATTGTCACATTGAATAAAAGGCACACTAGAAAAATATCAAATTAAAATAAAAACAAATACACTGGTGACATGTATAGGAAATAATTGAAAATTATCAAACCCACTTAAAACAGCATATTTTAGGAGAAAAAACACAAACCAAAACACCATATGAATTACAAAAGCTTATAAGTTTACAAGATGTTGTCTTGCTGCTCTGTTATAAAGCAGAGCCTCCCCTTCCCGCTCAACAATGCAGGCGAAACCAGAATGTCTGCTTTACGACATAGCCTACCTGCAGTTGCACCTGCGACTTGCGAGTTATCAACGGTGATCCGCGCACTGGGAACCGAAGTCCCCATGGCAAGGAAAGCGAAGAAAGCCCGCCGGCCCCGAATCAGCACCGGTTTCAAGGTGGGTTACATCTGAACGCGAGAATGACGGTGCATAGACAACCAGGTCGGGGGAGGTAGTGACACGAGGAAATGAAGCTTGAAGACCGATCTTAAGCTGTCGGCTTCGGCATTAAGCTATATTTTCATCTGTGTCACCATTCGCAACATGATCTAGAAACTGACGTGATTGTGAAGATAGGCAATGAAATATGTATTTGAGACCTAAACACGTACATGGCTCATGTTTATAATACGATATACACGTATCCTGTAAAAAGATGTATAGTTCTTTTCACTAATAATAATAAACAATAATAATAATAATAAACAACAGCAATAATAATAATAAGGGCCCCCCAAAAAAACCTGGTCTAAAGTTAATGGTGCAGTATTTCACTGTGATTGTAAGGATGGACTTTCCCCTTTACAGTAATACTAGTGCTTTCATTTTCTTTGCAAAAAAAAAAAACCCAGAATATTCGTTGAGTTAAAGATGCAAACTATAAAAAGACAAGCAAAAACTCCGTTAGGCAGTGGTGTGTATATGTTGTCCCTGAATAAAGTATCAACCAGTTTTGATAATTCAAAGTTAATTGGTTGTGTAATTAAGATGTAGATTTGGGAGGGTTTTATGGTAAGTTAAGTGCATTTTGTTAAATTGAGGCTTCAGGCCAGTGAACCCGCATGAAAGTCACCTGTCCCTGAACATGGGCGTCGCTAGGCCATTTTTAGGGGGGCTTTAGCCCCCCTAACATTTGTACTCAGCCCCCCTAAAAATTCTCCATAAACTTTACACAAATTGGTGATCGCCCACGTCCCCTTTAAATTTCATATTTAAACGGCGGCAGACTTCGGCTCCGCCCCGTCTTTCAGCGCGGTCTTCAACTGAAGCATCACAGACTGCGGCATCACAGAGCGAGGATTAAGCCAAGGTGTGTGTTTTTCGATAAATTGTTCATCAGTGCAGTCCTTTTTCATAAATACAGTTTACAAAAATGTCAAAATTTTCGCTGTGTTACGTCATCACACCAGCTGTTTCCTCTAGCGAAAATGAAGCCCTTATTACATACCCTATTAACCTATAGTCTACTTTATAAAACAATGATGCTGTTGCTGTTTTAATTGGAAAACCTAACTGTCTATATAAAACATTACACAGTGCATGGCATTAACTGCCATAGAGTTATGCACATAAATGATTAAAAACAGTGACAGACAGCATTCAATGCACTCGTTTTAACTGCATAGCAGTGTGATTTACAGAGATAGAAAAATCCTGCTTTTTTTGTAATAAATATTGTATTGTATTAAATAATGTCCCAGATCGTGAAAAACATTTATTAGCCTTAGAGTAGGGTTTTTTTGTTACTTTGATTTAGAAAAAGTTACCATTTTAATGAATAGAAACAAAAAAAGAATTATATAAAAAAAGATGTTTTGTTTAATTACATTAAAACAATGTTTGTCTATATTAATGAATTAGAATAAATAGCCTAGTAGATATAAAATTTTAAGGGGTTGAATGTAGAACCTACTGTCTTATGAAGCTAAAACACTAAATGAAACTAGATAACATGATGATCAGAGTTTTAATATTTATATTTAACTGTAGATGGATATACGAAGGTTTTTCAAGTCACATGGGAGTAGGTCACCAAATGAGCAGCAGTCAGTATAAGAATAGAACATGGGCAGCCTCTCGTATGCACATTAATACTGTGTTCCCAACATTGATTGAAGTCATTGCACCAAAAGCAGCAGTGTTGTCAAAGAATAAACATAAATATTTGACATTATTGGCACTAAACAACAAATTATTAATTGTCGTTCACAGTCACATGATGTAGAATTCATGCTTTGGTTTCTCAGAAAGGTTGATGCAAAAAAGAGTGAAATTGAGGCAGTGCAGATTGAAGAAGGCACAGTAGAGAAAGGGCAAGATCATGATCCAGGTGAGAATGTGAACAGAGTTGGTTTGGATACAGTGTCTGGTCAGGTAAAAAATACAAATGAAGTTACCATATATATTTTTACATGATTGTCACAGTACAGGGACAGAGAGAGCTTGAAGAAGAGGAAGACATAAGTCAGGAGAGAGAGAAGGACATATATGCAGAAAAAGAAATGTACTCCAATAAAGCACAGACAGCAGCTGCATCTTTAGATCAGTTTGACTTGGGTGAAAAGGACACAGGCCCAAAACAGCCAAAATTGCACTATTATCCCCATGAGCACTTTTTTTTATTTTTATTTTACTTTTGAAAGTTAATAACAGCACCCACATAGTTTATTCCATTGTTTAAATTGCTAATCAATGTAAGTTTAAAGTTATATGCTGTTTTGTGGTTACATTTTTCTGATTTTTTTGAACATAGAAAAAGGTTTGTACTAGAAATGCACAAATCATTTGAGTACTGATTCTGAACAAGCCAAATATGTGTTAAACATCTATGGGGGCTGAGCCCCCCTTAAATGAAAATCCTAGAAATGCCCCTGGTCCTGAAAGTGAATGTGTTGTAGAGTCCAGAATATGTGGGCACTAAATTATGCACCGTGAACTACCTCAAACAAGGAAACAATACCATGGAAGTCACCTCTAGAGTCCTGAAAGAGCTTTGCTCTGAAGTGTTGTAGAGTCCAAAATATGTGGGCACTAAAGTATGCACCGTGAACTACCTCAAACAAGGAAACAATACCATGTTTCATGTTTGTTTTCTTTTTTTCACTGCATTTCAGTATCAACTTTCCAATTAGTTTTCCTAATTTTCTGGAATTGTGATGATAACTGAAGCTCAGAAACATGTTGAAAATGAGGTTCCCCCTGAAAGAAACATCAGGCTTCATGGTTTTCCCTGCTGTGGCGTTGCTGGTCCTGAGCTCTCCTCACCGCACCTTTTCAGGTAGGACTCAGCTCTGGGGCTGTTTGACATTAAAACATCACACAGGAGCCACACTTCATGCATGTAGTAGCTTTTTGTTAAGGAACACTTCCTTATTTACTGTATAATCATGATATTCAGAGTCAGCATGAACATGTGAGGGTTGGTGCCTGTCCGACCCTGCCTTTCTTTGTTTGTTTGTTTGTTTGTTGTTCAGTAATTTTCCCTTTTTGTATTCTGACCCATCATGGTCCTGTTCCTTTGTGCATTTCCCTAGTGTTCTTTATTTCAATAAACCCTCATTAGTCTCTGAGCGGCAAGAGGATCATCACCTTGTTTTCCCACACGCAGCATGCCGCGCCATGACAGGACAAGGAACTTGTTTTGGTTGGAATGTAACCTGGAGAACAGTGTAAATTATTGTGTTGTGATATAGCACCTTTCACAACAGTCACCCCAAGGCGCTGTAAGACAAGAAAGAAAGAAAGAAAGAAAGAAAGAAAAAGAAAGAAAGAAAGAAACACAGACAGATAGACATACAGAATGGAGGAAACCTCTGGGGGTCCAAGGTCAACTAGCTGCCATCCCCCCTGGAATGCTAACGTTATATATATAGAAAAAAGGAGTTAGCATGCCTAAAAAAGAAAGGTGTAAACTTGATCATGGTCAAAGCCAAAGTCCATCAATGAGTTAATTCTCTGTTTCCTAGATTTAGTTTAAATCAGAGCTAGATAAGATTTTAACAACTCTGAGCTATTAGTTAAGTTCTCCCCAAACGAGCTTAATGGGCCGAATGGCCTCCTCTCGTTTGTAAATTTCTTATGTTCTTATGATCAAAATGTAGGCAAAATTTAGTACACTGCTACGCAAAAGTGGGAAAATAATGAACTTTTTGTTTAGGTTACATAATATTCCACTTCAGTAACAAGGCTGTGTCTTTCAGTTAATAATAGTATTGAAAACGATATACATTTTTGTGTCGCTTAATGTCCTTCCGCATGTTTGAACACATATACGTCTGAGGTCCCATATGGTTAAAACGGCTGCATGCTCTGCCAGCAATATAGTGTTACAATACATAGACTATCTTGATAATACTTGATAATGATAATAAACATGTATTTTACACATTTATTTTACTGTAATTTTAATCATTATTTTAGTTATTAATTTAATGTGTATTCTCTCTCAAGTATAAAGTATCTTAGCTTTTTAAGGGAGTACAGGTACAGAGTAGATGTGGTATACTACATAGGTATTTATACATTGTATATGATGTTTGCATAGCCTCCAAATTACCTAACATCCTATTGGACAGAACGTAACACGACTAGTATAGAATAAAGCTTGTGTTCCGCCAGATCTATCAGTCGGAGGCTAATTAAGGTTTTGTTTTTACCATAGAGTACTTGAGAGAGAACAGTTTTTATCTGTAATGGCTGTTTTGTTTGCTTATATTGTGTCTGTTCAGTGCCCTCCAATTAGAGCAGGGGGTGATGGGGATCACAATATTCACTTAGGTATTTCTTTGATTTGAGTGTGGATTGGGAACTGAATGTTATGTTTAAAATTACTTTATTTTCAATGATGTTTATATGATATATATGTTTATTATAATAATCATGAACACTTAACTGTAATATTGGTTTATGATTTTCATAGACCCTACAATAGTTTATTGAAGGACACTTATATTAACACTTTAATATCCTAAAATTGTAATAAAATCAGAAATTCTATTGTCACACGTATTTCCAACTTAATTTGAATAAAAATACAAATGCAAATAATTTTGCTGCCTTAACAAATACAGACACAAATACAGATATTGGGCTCTGCACATCCCTAGTACACTGAGCAGACATGCTGTTAGTGGGGAATACAAAATATATATCATAAGAGATACACCACACTCAGAGACCATGGCAATCACACAGAGGGTTATAGAGATTTAATGTACAGTATTACTTAAATAGGTGAGTGACCAAAGCTTGTTTATGTAATGTAGTGCTTGGCCAATTGTGGGAATTTGTACTGTTGTGGTTTTTCCTTCCCCACCAACTCAGGAGTCAGAAGCCGCTTGTGTAAATCCAGATTCAGTCTTTATTGCAACAATAAGTTTACAACCAAGGCTGGACACTTGCAAGTGTGTCCAATACTGTTTTACACTATTTTTAGTTTTTGTTATCGTTTAACAATATGTCGTCACTTAAACATCATCATTTTTCAACCATTCACCATCGTTGTTTTCTCCCTTGATTCACACCCCTAGATGATAAGTTTGTCAATCATTTCTTTTACTGTTTGGTCCCTCGGCTGAATTGTGGCATGACCATCTCTACTCAGTTTTTTTTAAATACTTAGCCCTGAGCTTTTGTTGAACTCAGGTGAATCCCTTCCCTTCAGTAGCAAATCTTGGAGGCTTCCGCTTGTTACACATTGCTTGGCTACAGGGTTGATAATGCATTTGTCCTTCCACATTGTGATAAGCTGCAGTGATAATTAAGGTGGATATTTATTCAACATGGGCTAACATAAAATAGCTAACAGATAGTTTGAGACTAACAAAGTGCAGTTACATACTCAGTTGATTACATTGTGATGATTACATTGTAAGGATTACATCATGAGTATTTGGCATGCTTTTTGATAATATCATAATGATTATGTTCTCTCAAAGTCATATAGTGCTAATTAATATTCCATAGTACTGGCCAATATCAGTAAACAGTCTTTCCTTGTTATTTGTACAGAATCCCATTCACTGTCACTCTTGGCGACATTCATCTATGGAGAGACACCATTCCCTGAGTTTACACTGGTATTGACAATCAACAATGTCCCAGTTGAGTACTACGACAGCAATGTTAAAAAGATTGTCTCACAGAGATACTGGAGGCCAAACATCTCTGTTGAGGATACTGAGGGGAAATATTTTGTGGTGGAAGAGACACACAGAAGTATGAAAATTGCTACTGATCTTATGATGAAGCACTTTAATCATACTAACGGTATGTCCACTGTTTTTGTTCCCTTTATTCCTCTTCAAACTACTCATCCTGGCCAGAATCATGGGGAGGCCAGGCACAGTGCATATCACTGGGGCACATCCTGGATGGGAAGGCAGTCTATCACAGGGCCCATACATACACTGGCACTGTCAGTTAGCCCACAAAACACAAGGAGAACATGCAACCCCCAGACACTCACAGAGACAGTAGGATTCAAACCCACAGATTTGGAGGTGTGAAGTGACAGTTCTCTCCACTGAGCCATCATGACATTCTGGGTTGCAGTGCAATGGAAAGAAAGTGTTTTATCAGATTACACAGATCACAACTGACACACTGCATCACACTAACCGATACATTTGTAATAATTTGAGAGATGCATGACATGACACCATTTTCCATATGATTACATCCAATACAGTGTTGTGATAAGCCTGGAGCTTATCTCAGAAACTTCAGGGTGTCAGGGGAGCCTAGATAGGATGACAGTCCATTGCAGGACACACAATGGGCAGTACAGACACATTGGAAAAAACCTACACAAACGCACAGTCTGCAAAGGTGTGAAGTCAATGTGCTACCCACTGAGCAACATCTGTTAATGTCCAATTTATTTTTATTGTTCGGATCATACCTGTCAAGTTTTGGTTTTGAAAATAAGGGAAATTTTCCGGCACCCACCGTGAGCCATCCCACCACC